ACTATCCTGGTGTCCCCAGATGTTCTCCTTATTGTGAACATGATTATCATGACATGCCGTAGCCATACACATACGAGACAGGAACCAAAGAACAACAGAATGAACAGGATGTGCTGTGGGACTGTCTTCTCACTCTTCATTTGGCAACATCCCTTGAGACTTCCTAGAAATAATAGAAAAATTCATGGGGGAAATATGCTTACTCTTAAGGGAGTTATAGTCAACTAGTGTGCTGTGGTTTCTGTATGAATGACTATACATGACTTGTGTGTTGAACACTAAGTACTAAGCTGGTGGCACTAGTCTGGGAGGGTCTGGAAACTTTAGGAAGTGGCGCTGAGCTGGAGGAAGTAGGTCCCTCCTGGTAATTTGTCACTGGTCTCTTCCTTTCCCTTTCTGTGCCTTATGCCCACCCTGGTATCAGCTATGTTCTCTCTTGGCTTCCTCTATGATGAGTATCAAAGCATTCCTTAATTTTACATTTTCCTCTCAGGTCTTGTAGTCCCAGCTACATACGCATAACAAAGACAGCTAGGCTGCATATATCCCTAATGTGACTGCCTGCAGAGCAAATAAAGCTTTCAAACATTTCCTGATCCAGAAGGAGACATGCATTCATACACATTCCATTGCACTTACTCCTAGTATTTAAGTAGGAGGCTACCTTCCAGCTGATGGAGTGATCCACCTGAATAAGCATCTCCACCGTGCTAGTTTTATATCTGAACTAGAGTTCTGGTCTTGTTCCCAGCCTCACATCTGACTCAACATTGTGAAACTAAGAAATCATTTAGCTTCTCAGTACCTTAAAGTCTAGCTTCTGTGAATGAGGATAATGGGCAAACCTCTCTTGCTTCATGACTTGATGTGAAGTTTAATTAGGTAATTTTTACAGAGCTCTTTGAACTCTAATTAAAGTCATGTGTAAACACAGGGCTTCCTTTTATCAGGAGGCCTGTACCGAGCTGTTTCATGAAGACTTGAAGATGGCTATGATAGGAGGAGCTAAAGGAAAGAGACTTTATTTTGTGTCCATGCATGTGTGTGAACACAGTTCTGAACCAGTCACGTGGTGTATGAAAACACCTAGTTAGGACTGCATTTAATGAGATGTAATTTCACACTCACACCAGTGGTAAAGACTCTGCTTTATACTGAGGAGAATTCACACTTAACCACTAGTGAAGGCTCTTTGCTTTATACTAAGGAGCATTCACACCTACACCAGTGCTAAAGCACTAAGCAACACTTAGCTCCAGGAGTATGGAGTGATACCTGCAGCTTTAAGTATTGACATCCTATTTTGTTCAGTACATTTTACTTAGTCAATAGTGGAGAAGTGCTTAATTTTTCTTGTAAAGAATCATAGAATGACCGTGTAGTTGTGGTTGAGTGATTAAGGTGATGGACTAGAATCATAGGATGGTAAATTACCACAACTCTTTAATGTGAATGTTTGTGGGTACAGTGCCCCCAAATTCTGCAATATTAGTAAGAACTCTCTGGCATCCCCTTTTGATCCTCAGTTGAACTCATCTGGACGCAAAGTGTTGATTTTTAAATCATTGTCAAATTAGCTGTGATTTTATCATGAATAATTTGCACCCATAGGCTTTAAGGAGACAGCAGGCATCATTTAACTTGACAAAGATAAACTCCAAAATCCTAACCGTCTTTCATTATCCCTTCCTCCAAAATTTTCTACCACCTATACCAGTAGTGCCACAACGAAGTTATTAGCACAAGGGCCTTTGGGAGATATTTAAGATCTAAGTCATGACACAAATTTTATTTATGATTTCTTTCTTTTCTTAAATAGAATGATTGAGTGAGAAATATACAAAGGATCAGAAATGAGTTAGTTGGTAAAAGCAAATTTTTTTCTTGAAAAATTGGAAAGGCAAAGCGAATATAGAAGCTGAAGACTTGGAAGGCATTGTGGGCAGGGAGGTTCCAACGTGATGTAGATGATCAGCATTCATGCAGCCCTTCAGGGTACAGATTTCCTTGGGGACAGCTGACAAATAAAAGGAGTCTGTGTGTTTTCACAACTCGCATAAGTTGGAGGAGACAGAATACTCAAAATAAATAAAGCAGATTTATTGCTCACATAAAGGCAGCGAGAATAGACAGAAGCATCTGGTCCTTGGCAAGCCAGTCTTTCAGACCCAGGAAAGTTCCTGCCCATAGTCCATGTTGCATACTGAGGAGTGATTCCGAAGTGAAGCGCACCCTAGGTTTGTTTACTGTGGTGACATTTGGATCTTTGCATATAAGCTCTACAGACACTGTTCTAAGAGGGATGAAGATAAAGTCTGACTGTTTAGATGCTGCCTCTTTATCTGAGGATGTCCTGCCCATAGGACTTTGTGAGAATTATAGATGGGAAGGTATAGAGCTGAGTTTGTCTAATCCCACTTGAGGGTACTTCTACAAGAAACTCTTCCAATTTCATTCTTTCCCTTCTGAACATTTCTGTTGAAGAATGAAAAGAGTATACATTTTTCATTGTAGCATATTTTACTATTCTTAAAATGTTTGAGTTCAGGTCTACCACCTTCATATGTATGCCCTCCTTTCATTCCTTGGAACCTTAGAGAGTAATTCTACCACTTATTCAATTTAGCATATTGAAGACTTGTTTACCGCTTTGGAGCCAGTGGGACCTGGTAGAATGGAGCTGGAAAGGGAGGCCAACTAAAGTCTCCTACAGCAGCTGACTTTACTCAGAGAATCAGGCAGTTTATATTTTGATGGTTAAGAAGAGTCACATGAGTAAAAAGTACAGTCACAAGGGCAAATCTCAGTGGCCTCCGTGGATGTTGTTATAGGCACAGTTATCATCAGGGTGGGGATGTACTATTTAACTAGTTACAGCTCTTTCAGTAGGCACTTTCATTCAACCCTCATTTATTCTAGTAGTCATCAAAGGCCCTGTGGAAAATTTCAGCAAGTTTGATGCTTCAAAATGTATCCGTGGCTTTCAGAATACAAGTAACCATGCCTACATGGCTTATTAATACAAAATTTTGGAAACAGTGCAGGAATAATAGTAATTCACTTGATGAGTTATTTGATCTAATTTTTAAGTTTCAATTAATTGATGAAATGGGAAAGGATCACAGTTTAGATTTATATATTATTTTTATATATTGAAATTCTAAAAAGAAACATAGTGAAACACTTGTTATCTTTTGATGTTAGGAAAATTCTTATTTTTATTTTGTTCTTAAACTTTTAAATATTATTCAAAATTTCTACAGTGGGCATAAAAAAGAAACAAATAACATTTTTTCCATTTTGTAATTTTTCTTGAAATTAAAATGCAGTTCAAATTTCCTTGTACTTTAAAATTTGTGGTTTCTGTCTATTGCCAGTCTGATATAGTCTGAGATATCATAGTACTTAAATGTAGACTTTAATAATGGCTTAAGAGTATAATAGCCGAATTTTAATAACTATTCCACAAATGCTGTCATTTGAGGAAGTCTGCTGCAGTTGTAACCAGTGTATGTCTCTTTTTCCTAAACAAAGAAGAAATAGGATTTCATGGCTGTCTTTAGAGGCTGAGGGAAGTCTGGTCAGTGGCTACGTTAGACTGACTAAGGCTGAAGTCTTTATCATAGCTTGGGATGTAAGGAAGACACAGCTCAGAGCTGGTGACTCTACAGTTAGAGAACAAACATCTGTGGTAGCTACATCTGTTTTAGCACTGACCTTTTTATAGGCTTGAAGATCTCACCTACACCAAGAACTGTATGTCACAAGGTGACATTTTAGCCATTTGGAATGCTCACATGAACAGCTGAGATGCTAGAAGGCCTCTAATCACAGAGTAGATAGGCTTTAAAAACCAATGTCATATTAAATTTATTATATTAAGGAGCTGCCTGCAAGGGACACGTGAATGTGAATAAATCACCTATCAGTCATGACACCATCAAGAGCACTGCTGCAGAGGGAAGAAAGTCACCTAGAAGGGGGTCTTGAATCTGAATGGGTTCCATTACTTGTTCACTAAGAGAATGTGAAAGCACTAAGGAGCTTGTCTCGGGATCTCCGCCTCCAATGACTGGCAGCATCTCCTTTCTACTTCTCAATGTTTGGCAGTCAGCTGCCAAAGATCACACGCTACAGACAGAGATCATACACAGTGCTCCAGTGGTCCTAGCCCACCCTCAGTATCAACTGCAGCCATGAGTGAGCCACACTAGTCATGCCTTCAGATGACTTCAGTCAGAATATACCTGACCATGGTTAAAAACCATCCAAGTCTGCTGTATCTAGCTGGACTCAGTCAGCACACACATGAGACATAATAATAAAGTGTATGCTAAAGCAATGTTCAGGCCTCAATCAGTAGACACTCAAAAACAAAAAACTGCAGCGTTATTGAGTGTTAGTCAGTACTGCCATACTTGAAACAAAATTTAAAAGTAGTTCTACATCACAGAGAATGGCATATTATTTCTATAGGTCTCTCTTTTCAACCAGAATGGAGTAACAGTGAGGACAGTTACTATAGCTTACATTTTTCAGATCCTATGTAGTCATGTGAATAAAAGGAAACAGAAAAAGGTGACATGTCTGTGGAGCTGGTGGGATGCCATCGTGGTACTACTTACCACAGTGTGGAGAGTACAGACTATGATTATCACAGCTTTCCTTCCCCTTCTATTGCCTTCTTCCCAATTTCCAAGTTGCTTCCACTCTACTCTGAATCAGCGGGAGCCTGGCTTGTCTCTGTGCCTCCGTGTTAGATGAAAGGATGCTACTCAAACAGGTGCTCACATGGACAGGCCAGGTAAACAATCTGTGAGAGGAGAGGACAGCTCCAGGTTGGCTGCTCCTCAAAAGCCTGATGCACTTCCTTCATCGTCAAGAATCAGATTGAAGCTAGCCTCTTACTTGCAAAGGGTATAGTTACATACTCTTAAAATACAGGACAAAGTCTAAGTACAGGACAAAATCCAAGTGTCTCACAACTCTTCTGTTCGCAGGTATTCCCAGGTTGATTACAGCTGATATGGTTAGAGAAGGTGCAGCAGTAATTGATGTGGGCATCAACTATGTTCAAGATCCTATGACAGGAAAGACAAAACTAGTTGGAGATGTGGACTTTGAAGGTAAGAACCCAATCCTCTTGTTAAGTGAAGGGGAACAGAGATTCCAGCCTTCATGCTTTCAGAAAGAAACGTTCCTTACGATGTGGACAGTACTAATACTCATCACTGGCCCCTCAGTAGGACAACATTCTTATAACCCCTCCCTTTTCCCACCCCCATTCTCTTCCTTTTCATGATCTTCCCTTTCTATCTGTATCATTCATTTTTTCCTGTGTATCTATTCTCTGAGGTTGAACCTAGGGCTTTGAACATACACCTCACCAAAAAAAAACTGTATCCTAGATTCTGCTTTTTAACAAGAGAGAGAGAGAGAGATAGAGACAGAGAGACAGAGAGAGAGACAGAGAGAGACAGAGAGAGAGAGAGAGAGAGAGAGAGAGAGAGAGAGAGAGAGAGAGAGAGAGAAGTCCACTAGGTTTCCCAGTCTGTCCCTGAATTTGAATTCCTTCTCCTTCTGCCTCCCAGGTAGCTGAGATTACTGGCCTGTGCTGCCATACTTGGCAATATTCAGGATGAAATAAATTTCTTACTATATAGTTATTTTTTAGATTGTATAAGTTTTCTTTTTTGTTTTTTCTTTTTTGTTTAAATTTTTACACGTTACTCTCAGTTCCCTCTCACTCCCCTCCTCCCCCGACCCCCATTCCTCCCAACCTTCCACCCCACTCCATTCCCTCTCCACTCCACAGGGAGGGTAAGAGCTTCCATGAGGGATTTTCAAAGTCTGTCATATCATCCCAGGCAGGGCCTAGGTTCTCCCCCATGTGTCCAGACTGAGAGAACATCCCTTCATGTGGAATGGGCTCCCAGAGTCTATTTATATGCCAGGAATAAATACTGCTCTATTCTCCAAGGTCCCACGGATTGCCGATGCCTCTTCTTTGACATCCAGGTTCAGGGTGGGGGTGGGGGTGTCTGAATCAGTCCCATACTGGCCTCTCAGTCATCAATCTGGAGTCCATGCATTCCCCCTTGTTTAGGTCAGCTGCCTCTGTGGGTTTTGCCAGCCTGATCTTGATTCCTTTGCTCATCACTCCTCGTTGCAACTGGGTTCCAGTAGTTTGCTTTGGTTTGTAACTGTGGGTGTCTGCCTCTGCTTCTGTCAGCTACTGGATGAGGGTTCAAGGATGGCATATAAGGTAGTCATCAATCTTGTTATCAGGGGAGGGCATTTAAGGTAGCCTTGATGCCAGTTGGTGTCATTTTTGTAGATCTGTGAAGATCTCACTAGTGCCAGATCTCTCCTCCAACTTACAATGGCTCCTTCTATTATGGTATCTCTCATCCTTCTCTCCTCTATTCTTGCCCTAGATCAACCTTCCTGCTCCCCCATGTCCTTCTCTCCCCTCTTCTCCTCCCCCTCTCTTTCTCCCATCTCCATCCCCCCCCCCTGCTCGCAATCCAATTAGGAGGTCTCATCCCATAACCCTGATCTAGGTTACCATGCATATCTCTCTTAGAGTCCTCCCTGCTTCCCAGACTCTCTGGCGGTGAGATTGTAGGCTGGCAATGCCCTGCTCCATGTCTAAAACACATATATGAGTGAGTGCATACCGTGTTTGTCTTTTTGTGACTGGGTTACCTCACTCAGGATGGTTTCTTCTAGTGCCATCCATTTGCCTGCTAATTTCAAGATTCCATTGTTTTCTTCTGCTGAGTAATAGTCCATTGTGTAGATGTACCATATTTTCTCTATCCACTGTTTAGTTGAGGGGCATCTAGGTTGCTTTCAGGTTCTGGCTGTTACAAATAATGCTGCTATGAACATAGTTGAGCAGATGTCCTTATTGTATGAGGGTACATCTTTTGGATATATGCCTAAGACTGGAATTGCTGGATCTTGAGGAATCTCCATACGGATCTCCAAAGTGGCTGTACAAGTTGGCATTCCCACCAATTTTAGACCCCTGTATTCTTTTGTTCTTAAAATAATTTGTATTATGTGAATTTATTTGGAGATGGGAGGCACTTGTGTGCTACCACATTCATGTGGATGCCAGAGGACAACTTGTGGGACTTGGTTTTCTTCTAGCATGTGGATCCCCGGGATCAGTGTCAGGTCACCAGTCTCCGTGACAAGCAACTTTCCTCATTTAGCCTTCTTGTCAGCTTTCTGTGGTTTTTATGATTGTCATTTTACACTATACATAGACATTTCTGCTTTATATTGAGTCATTCACTTTTTAAATTGCTTTTGAGAATCTCATTTAAGTAGTTTTTACACACTTTCCCCCCTTCTCTCCCCCTCTAACTCTCCCTATGTTATCCTACTCCCTTTCAAGTGTCTGATCTCTTCTACTGTAATTATTATTGTTATACATGTATACACGTGCATATATGTATAAATACAACCTATGGAGCCCATTTAGCAGTGCTCTTTATGCATAAATGTTTATGACTGACCACTTGGGATTGGATAATCTGTCAGGGAGATGGTTCCCATGGAAGGCTGATTCTCCCATTCTGCGCAGCCATTTATTGCCTGTAGCTCTTCATCTAGGGGTGTGACTTTATGAAATCTCCTCTATCCAAGTTGATGTGTTGACTGGTATCATTATATAGATCCTGTTTAGGCAAATATGTTATTGATATATCATGATTACAAAACATTTTCTAACAGTAGGGATCCCAGTACTCTATCCCTTAATGTCTTTCCACCCTTTTTCCAAGATGTTCTATGATCCTGAGGTATAGGTTTTGTATTGTAGGTGTACCATTTAGGCTGAAACCCCAGGGTTACATATTCTCTGCATTTTGAGCACTTGTGCTACAGGGGTAGTACCCTCTGTCAGCTGCAAAAAGAAGTTTCTTTGATGAGGGGTGAGAATTACACTTTTCTGTGGGTATGAAGATAAGTGTTTGGAATACAATTAAACATTATATTGATTTATGGAAGTAGCAGTAGTAGGATTGCTTCTATGGTTTGTGACCTCTTTCAGCCACATATCGGTGGTTAGATTTGTAGCACCAGACATGAGCTTCATCCTAGTGAGGACCCGAAGTCCACACAGCTGTTGGTTATCCCCAAGATATGAGTAACACTATGGTACTATTGAGGTTAAATGATCAGTCAACAGATAATTGTTGTGGGGCCTAGGCTTTAAAGGCAGGAATATTAATTGTTTCTCCTTTGATATCTTGCATACCACCTTTGGATACAATAAGAGTTAGTCTTCAGAAAGGAGGCTTCCGTGTCTGTTGCAAGGCTGATTCCTCTAAGTTCTGTATCTGAGGTGTGTGGTGTCTTAACCAATAGAGTCCTACCTTCCAGTTCTAGGAGGCAGCCAAGGGCAATGGTGACAGCCCATGTGTTTTTAGAGTGTCTTGGACTTCACTGACCAAAAATTGAAAAGGAGTCTTCCCATGATTGGCAGTGGAACTTTGTTAGATAGTCTGTCTTTTATTTAAACTATAAACTCTATTTAAACTATACATATAAAAGCACACACATGTATTATATATGAATTTTATGTAATCTTACAAAATAATGTTTCCCTATGACCCCTTTCAAATATCCTTAATGTTATTTATCTCCTCCTCTCCTCTCCCCAGCTTGAGTACCCCTCCCTTTTCTCTTTTCTTCTTCATAGTGCTTGTGTTCTATTTCACTCTTACAATGAGAGTCATCCCAGAGTATGTTTTCTAACTTAACTCAATCTTAGATATTGATAGTTATCTGGATGATTGAAATTGAAATTTTTAATTTTTTAGAGAGATGAAGAAGGGGAGCTCGGCTAAATTGCCTGATCAGGGAAGGATTTGACATGTCCAGCATGTAGTACTAACAAAACAATTCCAAATCCATGACTTCTCTCTACAGAAGACAGCTGAGCCCCTAGACACATACTTTTCCAGCTACCTGATCCCAAACAGTTTCACTTCCAATTCTTTGTCAGGGTCTTGCCTACTTTGATGTTTTCAAATTAGTGGTAGTCTTAGGCGCATGAACACCCTAAAGTAAGTAGAGACACTATCATATTTGAAATATTTGCAGAATGATTCTGATCATTCTAGGCTCAGCAGGTAAAGGAAGTTGTTACCAAGCCTTTTGACATAAGTCAGTACATAGGATCCACATAGTAGAGGGAGAGAGAACTGACTCCCACAGTTATGTCCTTTGGCTTCCTCGCGTGTGCATGCACACACATGTATATGTGCATACACACAAACAAATGTAACAAAACATTGAAAATGGGCTGGGCGGTGGTGGCACACACCTTTAATCCCAGCACTTGGGAGGTAGAGGCAGGCGGTTCTGAGCAACACAGTGGGACTCCTTGAAACACTTGATAGTTACAGATGTATCATTACAAACTACAGGAATAAGCAATGTGATTTTAAATTGTGGGTTTTATTTTATTTTTATGCGTATGGGTGTTTTGTCTACATATATGTCTATGTTGTGTATCATATGCATGCCTAGTGCCCAAGAAGGCCAGAAGAGGGAGTCAGATTCCCTGGAGTAGAGTTACAGACAGTTGTGAGTTATCTGGTGAGTGCTGGAAATTGAATGTGGGTCCCCTGAAAGAATAACCAGGCTCTTAATCACTGAGCCAGATGTCTAGCCCCTAAAATTTATATTTTAGACTTTTTACTGGAAACTTGTTCATCAGTTGATCATTTGTTCAGTTTAACATGATGTTTAACAAAATTTAAATGCAAGTGTCCCAGGGCATGGGCCCCAAATATGTAAAATTCTGGGGTGAAACAGGGACTAGACCCTGATTAAGCAGTTTAAGCCTCCTGGTTATGGAAAGAAAAGCATGTGTGCAATGTGTCCCAGGGGCAGAACAAGCACAGATGTACCTTGCGAAAGAGTCCACTACCGTCCTCACTGTCTCTGATTGCTAGGGACCCCAGAAAGGGTTCAATTCTAGTCTAGCCGCACCTATTCTCCACAAAAACACGTCTGCATGTCTAGTTACATGCAGAGATGCGCATACATGTGCTGGGTGTACATGCTGAAACATTCATGAAAGGACATCTAAAACACCAGCAGT